AGGCCTCCCAGGGGCACCCCACCTTGATAGATTGGCTGTTTTCTCTTTCCTTGGTTGATTGCTTCAAGAGATTTACGTTGGAGGTTTGAGATTCAGTCAAGGAAAATAAGTAAAGTTCTTAGAAGTGATCGGGGATACAAATACACCCTTAACTGTTTGGTAAGTCCAATGCGGATCAAGGGATAGGTTCCGTAAGAAACGATATCCTATGCTCAGCATCAAAATGGTATCGCAAAAGGTAGGAATTTTTTCCTAATTTACAAGGGAGTTCCATGATGGCAGAAACACATATCGTATTGACCTTTTGTTTGGGAGATGCTTTGTTGACTGTTATGTACATTTTTACTAGAATTCCTTCAAAACCTGTGCCTAAAATCTCTTATGAGTTGTGGACTAGTAGAAAACTTGGTCTATCACATCCCATAGGACTAGTAATCTAGATTAAAGGTCCATGGAATGTCCTTTCATATGATATGTTACTTCAAAGGTATATCCTAATCTATGATTTTGAAATGGGTGGAATCTCATGATGTGAACTTCATTTTGTCGAAGTACTTAAGCACTGAGAGGTCTGTGGGATCTTAAATAGGGAATGGTGAAGCGATTCCTCTACTAAAGGGCTATAGTGTGAGTATTCCTATAGTCGTCAAGAATAGTGGGAATGAACCGCCATTCATTCTCAAGCATCAAAGGAGTGCAAGTGACAGAGTTCCCCATAGACATTTTGAGATTGAAGGGGAATGCCTGACATGCATCTCCATTAATGAGGATGAATCAGGTCTATATCAGGAAAGCACTGCAATTCTTTGTTGTAGCCAATTGGATTGCCACAATGTCCCAAGAGATTAGTTCCATGGCTATGGTCGCTCAAGGATATTTTTTCACGCTTGGAGTGGGAGCGCTTTTCCGGTATAATAAGAAGCAGACGTGTTTGCTATTGACGTCCTTAGAGGCGATGGACATTGCTTATTGTGTAGCATTTGCTGGAGGGCTGATGGCCTAGGAGGTTCTTGCAATGTTAGGGTTCGGATCAAGTGCTAGAGAGCCTGTTGCCGTGTGTTGTACCAACTCGACAACACTAGCTTCTATAAAGAATGCAAAGTATCACAATAAGTGAAAGCACTTGGAGATAAAAAATTATCTTGTGTGAAATGTTATTGAGAAGAAATAGGTTTTCTTGACATAAATTCCCCTGCGTAGGGTGGTAATAGACTCTCTGTTGTGCATCAACACGCTCCATTTAGCATCCCACTTGATGCATTGCTTGCGACAAGACGCATGAATGTGACTGAATTGAGACATGTTTGGTGAAATCTGATATAGTATCTTGTATTATTTATCATTTACATCATGTAGTTCGACTCATAGTGTGACATGAGTCACACTTGCCGTTATTAGTCATATTGAGGTGCATACGATATTCCCTGCCTCTTGTTATACCGTCGATAATTGCCCGTCACCAAGTGACCTTGAGTGCCTTCATAGATCTGGTGACTAGGTTAAGAATTGGAGACTTGATTGTGCTACTTTAGCATGTCTTCCCTATTTGTTATTTGGGGTTCTCACCCCATAGGTAGGACCTCACCACGGTGACCATTCACCACCTAGTGGCTATTCACCATGGTGGAACAAAACTCCCATATAACTGGGCCCTACAGTGGCCAATTGACCTCGATATTTAGTTAGGAGTCGCTGAGATCAAAATTAGGGGATTTGGAGGCATGAGTGAACTTGTTTTCTTTGGAGTGTTAAATGCCCCGTCTCGGTAAAATTTCGAAGCGCAACGGTTCCGACTAGTACAACTCCAGAATACATCTAGAACAAATATAATATTTTTGAGTCTCTGAGTTGCACACTCAAGGCCCGTACAATATATATATATATATATATATATATATAAGGTTAGCCCACTAGCTAACAGCTATAGTGTTAGCTCAA